GCTGCTCAGAAATTGTTCTTCCTGAAACAATTCTTGAAAGAAGAACAAACCTTTCTGTTCTTATTCTATGGTAATTTACCCTTCAACTCCACTTAAAAGGTATCAGCTTGTCATCAGTCAATCCTCATGAATGACTTTCCTGCAATGCTGTCTACTTACAGTTATTTTCCTCTTAAAGGACAAAAACTGAGATTTAACGAGCTGACAAATCTGAGCACAAATCAAACTCACCTAGCCCAATGCAGAATCAGATCCTCAATGTGTTACGATACCTGTTTTCTCACACCTCGAGTCCCTTAGACTTGCTCCTGTTCCCCAAGAAAAGCATTCCACTGTTGACTGCAGCTGTTTGGGGTGGTGAGTGCTGTAGGACATGTCACCTCCAGACTGACAGCTGTTCCAAACACATGAGCACACTAAAACGTCACTGGAAAGGACTGGGTTGCTCCCACTCTTTCCCCTTTGGCCAAGCATCCTTACTTGGGTGAGTTTCAATCAGGGAGGGTCTCCTTTTTGCTGCAGAGCTGGATTTGGAGCTGAAGATGCAGTTGGAGGCGAAGCTGTAGCTTCCTCCACTTCCATAGATGGACACGTGCAGCCACCCATGGATCACTATGATGTGCAGCCAGGCAGAAGATACAGCTGCAGTGACATCTGTCTCCTCTTGTGGTGGCAATCAAAATCACAAAGTTTAGAAACCCCCTGGTGAGCTTCTGCTGAAGTGTGAGGGAGCGTGGCTATGCTGGGGCCAGGGCTCATGCCTGGCTTTGCAACACATGTGGCTCTGAATACAGTGCATGGGTCTGTGTAATGATTAGGGATCACCACATCTGCTTTTGCTCTTTGGTCCATGAATCCTGAAGCATGCAAGTGGAAGACTGTTCCAGAGAGTGTATTTCCTACAGTGATTCAGACAGGGCTGGGGAGAGATCTGGACTATGTACTTGTTGCTGTTTAACCCCACCTGATAACTAAGTACCATGCATCCAAGAGGATGGGGAGGAGAACTGGAAAAAAAAAGAAGTAAAACCTGTGGGTTAAGATAAGACCAGTTTAATAATGGAAATAAAATTAAATATACTACTACGAATAGTAATAATAGTAATGAAAAAGACAAAACAAGAAGAGAGGGAAGAATAATACCCTGAAAATGCATAGTATAATTGCTCAGCACCTGCTGACCAATACCCAGCCTGTCCCTGAGCAGTGATCAGCACCTTCCAGCCAGCTCCCCCCAGTTTTATCCCAGGCATGATGTGTTGTGGTATGGAATACCCCTTTGGCTAGGCTGTGTCAGCTGTCCTATCTCTGCTCCCTCCTGGCTTCTTGTGCCCCTCTTCACTGGCAGAGCACGAGAGATTGGAAAGTCCTTGATCGGAGTAAGCATTACTTAGCAACAACTAGAACACCGGTGTGCTGTCAGCATTGCTCCCAGACTGAGCTGAAACACAGCACTGCACCAGCTACTAGGAAGAAAACTAACTCTATCCCAGCTGAAAATATCCCTGTTTGAGGCTATGATCTGGAAAAATAAATAATGGTGACCTGTCCAAATTGAATCTATGGGGCTTTAACAGTGCTGACCCATGAATTTTGATAAATACACTTCTACTATGGATAAAGGCACTCAGCTGCTCAACCATTGAAGGGGGTATAAAAGCTTTCTGGCTGAGCAGCTGCAGTGCACATTTTGCTGTATTGCTTTCCATAAATCCATAGTTGGGATCCTCCCCTCCATGTGCAAGGGTCTCTGAAGAGTACAGAGCTGGCACAGTCTGCTCCTGTATCTCTGTCTGGTCCTGATACAGAGAGTAAAAAGTGGCACTAGATGAAAAACCTCATCTTTTAACCATCTCCATCTACATCCTTGTTGATTTGTATCTACTCAGCAACTCATTGCCTACTTGAAGTGAACATGGCAGGGGATCTGGGCAGGGAGAGGATAATGAAGAACTGTGTCCCAGGACTACAGACTGAAAATTTGCTGTTAGAGTTGCACCCTCCAGCTTTTAGGCTTTTGTCAGAAATGTCAGATGATGCTCCCATCACTGCAGGAAACTGGGGAAAGGCTGATGTGGTCAGGGGAGCTTTGCTATATGCAGCTTTTGGTGTTATTCACAAATGGAAAAATAGGAGGTCAGTAGTTTCAGTGTAGATAACTAAGGTGACACAGATAGGGAAAAACCTAAAACAGAGGAGGTTGGACTTGAACTGGCTATTAAAGCTCAGGAAAAGCATAACGGAGTCTTCACTGATGGTCCACCAAAATTGTAGCCTTGATGTGCAGCAAAAAGTGGCCATGTCATCAAGAAGAGCTTGGGGGTCTCAAAATAAGAAAGAAGACAGCTTTTGCCTGCTCTGTAACACACATTTGCGTTGTTCTGGCATCTGAACTGAGAACACGGTGAACTTACAGAGCTGTGAGCAGAGCAGCTTTGATGATCAAGGGGATGGGGCAGCTGTTGTATGAGGAGGTCTTAGGAAGGTTGGGATTTGACCCTGGAGAAGGAGGAGCAGAAAGGGCCAACTCTACAAAATCAGAAGGTGATTGTGGCCCTTGTGCTCATCAGATGCTGTGTGACTGGAATTAGAGGGCATCGATGAGTCTGGTAGATTGCTTTAAAAGGAATATAAAGGACTTCATACAGGGCAGGGGAGGAGAATGATCTTCTGGAACTTGCTGCCACAGGAGGTTGTGGATACAAATAGGATCAGCAGGTTTGTAAAAGGTGTAGCAAATTCGGGAGCAGCAGATCAACAGATATGCTAAAGGCAACAGGCAGGAATGTACTCACTGAAATTGCTGTTATGGCTGGTGTGGATGCTGGAAGAGCACAATGAAAAGTGGCCAGGCTCGTCTGCTCTCCCAGGTGGTATCTCCTGTTGCTGAAAACACCCCTGGGAGCGAAGAACCAAGGATGTCACCAGCAGAGCATTTCCTGTGTCCTCACTTTCACCATCCCTCAGCAAATGCAGACCTTCTCAGGTGGTTGGTGTGTGGCAAAAGGCAGGGCAACCACCAGGAAGACAAATTTTGCATTTCTATTCAATTCCCATCTCTGAGGTGAAAATCTGGGCAATTCCCAGTGCACAACGTCAAGGAGGCATGAATGACAAAACTGTAACCTCATTGCAAAGAGTTGCTCGTGGTACCATTGCAGTGGAAGGCTGGGTAGATCTAGTTATCAAAACAGACATGGTCAATCACTAAAAGAAGGTAGAAAACCAGTGCAAAGTAGGTGTGGAAAGCTTCTGCTGAATGGCTCTGAAACAGCAGGAAGAAGGCATCAGTGGCCAATGCCGTGTTACCACTGGTCTGCTTCTTCTCCTCCCAGACAGACAATCCAGGACCTGGATTCTGTTACGAACATCTTCAAAACCAGGGAATTTGCAGTGCTTAATGCCTCTTGTCGTGGGAGCTCACAGGATGAGATCTGGGGTGCTCACGGGTCGGCTCTGAGGGGGATCAGCAAAAAGGCTTTCTAAGATGCTGCTTGCGATGTTGAACTTCTTGTGATGGCAAAGGAGGGCAGACAGAAAGGAGGGCTCACAGTTTTTTAAGTTCTGTGAGTACTTGTTTTATCAGCCCTGTCCTGTCCAGAGGGGCTTGTGTAGCTCTGATTGATGTGGCCGCTCCACTGGGAGCAGTCCCTGCTTTTAGGAAAGGAGAGAGAGAAAATATTTGAACTCCTTCATCGAAATTGGCATTTTAGTGAAGGCTGACTCTGTTTTCTGTCTTCTAGAACCACTTTTCCCAGCGGCAAAATAGACACTGGGGAAGGTGGAAGGATCCTCAACAATGTGGATTAAAGTATGTTTGATTCATTCCAGTACTTTCAGACTGCTTGCCTGAAAAAATCCCCTTTACCTCAGCAACTGATTGAAGCCATCTCCAAGCAGCCAGTATCTTTGGGAAGTGGTGGAGGATGATGGGGCGGCAGGAACAAGACAACAGGGTCTCTTATCATTAGTAGGTAAGAGGAGGAAACTAAGGAGCTGAAAACCAGGCCACTTCAAATCACAGAGAAACAGTGGGACATTTAATCGAAGAAAGAGATGAGTAATAACCATGGCCAGTGCCAAGAACGAATCATTTCAGATGAGTCTGTTTTCCTGCTGTGACAGATTCTAGTCCTTGGTTCAACATTATCATTCCCTGCTCTTTCATCAATAACTTATGTGTTGTAATGGAGAATGTTCCTGAGCTGGAGGGGCTGTGAGCACCCCAAAGCACGGGGTTAGAACTCAAACTGATCCACACAGGTCAGAGAGATCAGTTCAGTATGGAAAATCTGACATTCAGGAAAGAGTTAACTGTCCAAATGCATGGCAAACAAACTGCTTACACAGCAGTTTTTCGACAAAAGACCTATAGGTTGCACCAATCATGACTTATGCTATTGGAATATTGAATGCCGAAATAGGATGTATAAACAGAACAGTCTGTAAAACACATATTTCCCCTCCTCTTTCCAGCAAGAGGATCTCCCAACTGGTGTCCTAAGATCAGCTTCTAAGAAGAAATTAATTCTGTATCTTCCCACTGCTTCTTTGCTAAGTTTTGAATGGGAAATTCCTGGTAAACTGCCCTAGGATGCTTGACCTCCTCCAGAAGTATGTATTTCTGTGTCCCTTTCCAGAACACACTTTCTAAGGCCATGACTGTTTATGAGACACTGGTAAGAGCAGTATCCAAGCTACCTGCATGCAGCTGTTTACAACCACTCAACAGACTGATGAAAGTGTTGTGACCAGGTAAGTCACAATCACCAGGCTTCTTTCCTGATGTCACTTTTGCACCTCTTTGAATAAAAATGAGCCCTGAAATGCCACTTGCCTTGGTGACTATCATGTAACAAAATACTGTGTTGTTCTCTGGGTACCTCTCAACCATAGATGCTTTATCCATCAGGAATGAGTGCTGGTAAGAGGCAAGAGAAGTCTCCAGATAGCAGAGACATCAGAACCAGCTTTTGTCTCACCTGAAGATAGATGTTCACCTTCCTTCTTCCCTGAAGCTGCTTCCTGTGACTGCCTCCTGAGCGCTGCCATGGCCTGAGTCAGGAGGCTTTGTCCCCAAAGTCCACCTCCTCCATGTCACCTGCTGCCGTTTCTGTCTGCCGCTGCTGTGACAGTGCAGAGGTTGCCTCCGCCTCTCTCATCAGCACTGGGGCTGCAGCAATAGGAGCTGCAGAACCAACACGGGACAGCGAGGGGCTGAAGGTTTGACCTGCCACCTTCCATGCTGCAGCCACCACTGCTGCTGCGCTGCCTGCGGGTCCTGAGGGAGGAACACTAGCGCAGGCAGAGCCACGGTGCAGGAAGATCTTGCCAGCCTGTCAGGCCCTTGGGGTAGGCTCTGTCCTGCGGCACATGGAGCCATGGCCACCAAGGGATGCTCAGCGAAGGGAGCCCAGGGCTCACCTGCTCTATGCTATGAGCCAGGATGCATGGGGTGCCTGGCTGCTGGGGCACCCGGCACTGGAACAGGGCTGCTGGGGAGGGCTCCTGCACCCCTCTGAGATGGGACCAGTGTCCCCAGTGTGCTCGGGACTGGGGCTGGCTGGAAGCCCATCCTGGCAGGGACCTCTGCACCCTCTGCCTGCCCCCGATAAAGCACCACGGCTTGAGGTCCCCATCTTGTGGCAGCAGGGGCAAATGGCTGAGACAAAACTCAACGGGCTCGGGGGAGCTCAGTGGTTCTTTGGCCATGCAGAGCCCTAAGAAAGTGCTGCAGGATACTGCCCACTGCAACACAAGATGTCCTGCCTGAGGACACAACATGGCGTGGGAGCTGTTGGAAGCTAATGCTTGTCATGGGCAGTGGGGACAACTGCCACCCCCTTCCCCTTCATGAGAATACCATCCCTTTCATTGCTTCTACACCTTGCCCCTTATGCATACACTGTATTTAGGACCCCAAGCGTCCTTTGTGGCCCCTGGTTTGGAGAAGCCCAAGTCTGTGCTGGATTTGATACTGGCTCTTCCCAGTGCTTTACACACCAGACCACACTGCCTCATATACCCCTGTGCCCTGAACCCTCCACCATACCCCTTTTCTCCCTGAGAGAGGAAGCAGAGGTTCTCTGTGGAGCAGAGCTGTGCCTGGGTGATGTTGGCTGGAAGGGTGCGACCTGCTCCAAAACCCTGCTCCATGCACAAGTAGATCACGTAGCTCACTGATGCCCTGACCAGCTTTCTGTTCCTCTCCCCACTGCCCCAAGGTGGGGTGGGCAGGTGGGGTTATGATGCCTGCAGGAGAAACCCTGAGGGCTGGAGGGTCTCTCTGTCTCTGGAGTCATCTGGGGCTTCTTCTGCCTCTGGTGCATTCACTGATGGTGACTGGAGCCCATGGGGCTAGGGCAAGTATGCAGGGCCAGTGGCAGCTTCAGCCTGGCTCTGTGTTTCGGCTGTACCAGCTGCCCTGGGCTTTCCTGAACCTTCCCCCCAGCACTGAGCCCCCCAGCTTGGCAGGGCTGGGGCAGTGTTACTCAGCACCTGGCAGGCTGCGGCCCCATGGCTATCTGCTGCTGCGTCTCCCACCACACCCATGGCTGGAAGAGACTCCACGTCTCCTTTATCATCAGCCCACAGCCCCCTGCACCGCAGCCACCCTGCTGCACGCTGCGATAAGGGCCAGAGGCTGCACAGACCCAGCACCGTGCTCCCGGTGCCGCTTCACTGCCCTGACACCCCCTGCCCTGCTGCCTATCTGAGCCCTGGCTGCTCCCCTTGCAGTGCCCATGCCCGCTGCCTCCCCCAGCCTGTCAGCTCCGCAGGGCCCCTGCAAAGTAACAACCCAAGAGTGCAGCACTAGGTGCGAAAAGTCCAGTGATGCCACATAGCCCTTTGTGCTAGGGATGCACAGAGAGATGTCCTTGTGCTTGGAGGTTCTCAGAGCATCCCCGCTGTGCTGTCTCATAGAGGGTCACAAGCACTGGGAGTCCCTGTACCCCACTGTCTCCCACAAGCACTTCCAGGAGGAGATGATATCCGATGGTTCAGCCTGAATTGGAAGTAAGGGGTGCACAGGGCTGATGGGGCAAGAGGGGATCTCAGTGAGGTGCTCTGGTGCGAAGACCAGCACAGGCTGGCGCTGCAGAGAGCTCCCAAGGGCCAGGCTCCAGCCACTCTCCCCAAGTCGTTCCCCTGCAACAGTACCTGGAAATGCCCTGCTTTTCCCAGACCCCACAGCTGGGAAAAGCAGCCCCACCACCCTGCAAACACTGCCTCCTTTCAGAGACAGCAAAACCAGAGCCCATTTCCTCTGTGTGCCCACCTGGAAGGGGAGACCCTCGGTTCAGACCCGAAGCAGATCCCTCCCATTCCCTCCTGGCAGGCAGGAACCAGAGCAGGACACCAGGGCTGGAGCACAAATGCAACAGATTTTATTTCAGATCATTTGTCTGCTTGCTGTTGGAGGCTGGCAGTGGATCGGGTCCAGCTCTAGCTGTGGTGCCGTCTTAACGGTACTTGGCAGTCAGCACAGTGCCCACGGCGCACAGGAACTTGTCCAGGGAAGCGTGGACCTCCGGGGTCAGGACAGAGGGGTTGTGGATGGCCACCACCACCAGGAAGCATTGGCCCAGCAGCTGAAAGACAAAGGAGAAGGGATAAGGGGGTGAGATGAGGGGGTGAGGCGAGGTGAGATGAGGGGGTGCAGGTGGGAGCCAGGCTGGTCACTTTGAAGTGATGCTCACTTTGAAGTTGACAGGGTCCACGCGGAGCTTTTGGGCGTGGAGGTCGCTGAGCTTGGAGAGGGCAGTCGCGATGTCATCAATGTTGTTGGCAGCCTCGACCAGTGCGGCTGCCACCTTCTTGCCGTGCGCCTTGACCTGAGCAGAGCCTGGGCTCACGTCAAAGTGGGGGAAGTAGGTCTTGGTCTGGGGGTAGGTGGCGAACATCCTGGGGAACAGAGGGATGATGTCAGGGATAGATGAGACAGGGACATGGAGGCCTGGAACAGTTGTGGAGGGCAAGAGGACATGGGCAGATGGGAGGGAGTGGAGGAGAGGCAGGAGAGGGTACGACAAGGGGGACGGCACGTACCTCTCTAGGGCCTCGGCGCCATACTCGTCGGCATGGCCGGTGATTTTGGAGAAGACGCCCTTCACGTTGGTCTTGTCGCTCCCAGACAGCACCATGGTGACACCTCCGCGATGGCAGCCCCCAGCACGGGTGCCCCCGCCGGCCGCCGCCGCCCTTATATGCTGTACCGGGGCACCGCCCGCCCCCCGGCCCGCCCCGCTCCTGGCCCCGTTCCTGGCCCCGTTCCTGCCCCGCTGGACCCCGGCCAGCGCCGCACCCCGCTCCCCCCGCGGCACCGCACCGGCACCGGGCCCGGCGGGGGAGTCTCTGCCCCCTGGCACCAGCTGGGGTGTGGGTCCGCATCAGTGCAAGCGGGATGGCCCGTGCCCTCTGGTGCAGGCTGGCTGCGGGGTTAGGCTTAGGTTAGGGTCTGTGCTGGCTAGGGGGGAACAGTGTGTGTCCTCCCTCCCGGCGCAGGCTGGGTTCGGGGCTCAGGTCCCCTGAGCTGCCGGCAGCTCTGGCACAGACGGGATGTGTGCTGGCAGGGTGCTGAGGACAGCGGTGTGGGGCTGTGCCTTCAATAGTGCCTGTGCTCCACAGCCTGAGCCTGCCCAGCGGCCCAGCACCCACACATGGATCCGCGAGCATCTGCACGGGAGACGGCTTCCACGCACACATGTGAACTGCTTCATACACACACTGCAGCTAACACAGCCCCTGCATGTGCACCATCCTTGCTTACACACACCCTGACAGACAGCCTGGCCCCTGTGCACGCAGCCACTCAGCCATGCTGCCCCACTGCACCTACTGCTCTTGTTCCCTCAGTGTACCCCAAAGTGTGTGCCCTTTTCACCCCCTGCTCCCCGAACCCCAGTCACATCCCTTTGCACACAGATCCTGGAGCTCTCCTACTGCAGCCCTCTCTCCTGCACATGTGTTGTGCTGGTCCCAGTGCTGTGAGGGACCGGGTGACCCTGAATCCTGGGAAAAGGGAACACTTGGTAGGACCATGGGAATCACTGCCTGCACCGATGCAAGCACTGGCAGGAGGAGCTGACAGTCAGGGAAGGAAGGCACGCAGGTCCCAGCAGCCCTGGTGAGCCCTGTGTGCCCCAAATGATGACGGCAAGACAATAAGGGCAAGGAAGATGAGGATGTGAGGAAGATGAGGACAGTGAGAGGGCCTGAGATGCCTCCAGTAGGCTCAAGAGGTGGCGCAGGCAGGCAGGGGACAGTTCACACCCGTGTTTCCTCCATGGCCGATGGTTCTTATCATTTGTGTTTGGGGGAGATTAGCTCTAGCTGGCACCATTTCGGAGCAGGGAAGGAGGGAGGATGGGGTGAGGAGGGGCATGGGGGGGGCTGATCTTCTTGGAAGCAGAGACCAGGAAAACATCTGTGGGGGCAGCGATGTGCATGCTTCAGGGGACAAACTGCAAAGGCAGAAGAGCCCTTCGGACTAGCGGCACAAGGATAAATGGATGGGTGTAAATGGACATGAAGACTCAGGGATGTAGACTAGGATATGTGTGAGGATGGAGGGAAAGTGCTTTGGGCTCATGAGTGCCTTTGCAGGAGCATGGGTGAGTGTAGTCCAGGGAACCCATGCACCCAGCACCCCACTGCTGCTTGCACTTGGCCACTGGGGGCACCTCTCTCCTGATGCACCATCTCCCACCGGTCAGGAATGCTCATCTCCTCCCTCTGGTGTCACACACAGAGCAGCCCCAGGGCTACTTTAGTTCCTTGTAACCCATCAGCTGCGATCTAAAGCCAATCGGCTTTTTAATTCAGGCTCCAAACCCCAGAGACCACTGTGCTGTGCCGGACTGCAGCTGTGCCTGCCCCACTGCCACCCTGCCCATGTGCCAGGGGAAGAGCACACACCCCGGCTGGGTGTCAGTGGGGGTTTGTGGCTCAGGGGCTTGAGCCCAGTAACAGTGTGCTTCATGGTCTGTAGTGGACTTATTTCACTCCATGAACTTGTCTCATTGCTTTAGGAGCTCATACAGGCATTTCGCTCCCACAGCATCCCCCGTGAAGTCCTACACAACCCTTGTGATAGATGGAGCCAGGAAGGATTCATCCTATGCCCCCAGATAATCCTTCAAGGGGATTTGACATTTGATTTAGCCCAACTGTCCTGGGTTCAGCAGTAGGAATCATTTTTCTCCTCCTTAGTAGCTGGTGCAGTGCTGTGGTTTTGACTTTCAGCCTGGGAACAGCACTGATAACACCGATGGTTTCAGTTGATGCTCAGCAATGTTTACTCTGGTCAAAGACTTTTCTGAGTCTCATGCTCTGCCAGGGAGGAGGGGAAGCTGGGAGGAAGCAGAGACAGGACACCTGACCCAAACCAACCAAAGAGGTATTCCATACCACAGCACGTCATGCCCAGTATAGAAACTGGGGGCAGTTACCCGGAAGGCCCAGATCACTGCTCTGGTTGGGCTGGGTATCGGTTGGCGGGTGGTAGCAGTTGTATTCTCTTCCCTTGTTATTTCCCTTATCATTACTATTATTGGTGACAGCAGCAGTGGTTTGTGTTATACCTTAGTTACTGGACTGCTCTTGTCTCAACCTGTGGAAGTCACATTCCTTTGATTCTCCTCCCCTCCCTCTGGGAGCAGGGGGAGGAAGGGGGGGAGTGAGTGAGTGGCTGTATGGTTCTGAGTTACCGGCTGGGCTTAAACCAAGACAGTTCTTTGTGATGCCCAACGTGGGGCGTGAAGGGTTGAGATAAGGACAGATCTGACGGGAGTGTGTCTAATCGTATTTGTGATAACCATTTATTGTTTCAGATTAATACTCACTCCTCACAATGCTGATTTATTGGCTCTCAAAGTTGTCACTCTTGATCTCAGAGTTTTAGCATGTCATACCTTATTTACAGATGGTATTTGCTGTCTTAGTGTTTATCAGCTGGGCTAAGGTTATTGTTTTGCTGTACTTCATGGCAATGGCTTGTAATATAGTAGACTCATTGATCATGAATCTGGGCTGGTATATGTTCCCAGTGTGGTCATCACCTCTATACTTTGGGAGGTGTATAATGGAAGTGTTTAGCAATTACACATCTTTTTTTTCCTCCTCAAACGGTCCGTCTGTGAAGGAGACATTCTCTCACACCCTCTGCTCCTCCACCAGACTATTTACAGTGGGAGTAGATTCTGGAATATTTAAAGATCCTCGATATCCTTTCAATGCCCTTGAAAGGA